AAACAATGCACAGTTTCTTTTCGTATATTTTTTATCTTATCTTGACGTTGAACATAATATATTATATTCAGTATGTTCATATACATTCAGTATGTATTCATATCTTATTCAGTAATGATATTCTGAACAACGTTTAAAAATTGTTTTTTGTCAATCAATCTTTCTTAACGAACGTCCATAACACCACGATGACGGGCTGATGATTTGTACCGATCCGTGTGTGGTTGCAAACAACCATGAAAACCACGTCAACACAACAAAATCAACAATCAACATACCCAGTACTTCCGCTGCTAACCGCCAAATGTATCTGTACGGTAGACGTGACAATAACGCCTAGGCGCAGCTCGCCTTTTATATCCTTAACCAAATGTACCCTTTTACCAGTAGGTTCGAAGTAAAGCCAAAAAATCACACATGATAACTGTGAAAGAACTTTTCCCTCAACACTCAATTTTGCTTAATATTCTAATTCTTCAACAACTAAAACTACAATAATTTTCAAATCTTCTCCGTAGTTGCTATGTGAACTATATTTTGTAAATATTAGACTTCATCATTCTTTCAAAATAATAAAAAATATGTTTTTGTTATGCCTACCAAGGTAAGAAAACAATTTGACTATTATATATCCCTCCATATACAGCTATTATTACCCAATAATATGTTTCAGAAATGCAGTGTGTGCTTGGTGAAGTGATATGGCGTTTGACAAGTAGTGCTATATCCAGTCAGCAGAGTGATCCTGTAATGGTCAAACATTTCTCCACGCGACTCCAGTCGATTTCTCTTACTTCATTAGTATACTAATATTCTAATATTTTTTCGCTTGTATTGGTTCCTTTATATTTGACTCTATCCTAAACATGACTGTTGCAAAAATTACTCTATGTATATTAAGTATAATGGTAACTTAATTATTTACTACTATAATAGTTGATTTTCCAATTTCAAGTAAATTCTCTTTACAATTGAATATTTTAAAAATATATTTTCTTTGACATGTATATATAAATATTTATAATAATTTATAATATTCTTACTCCCTGTAAGATGAAAATAGTAAGAAATTCTTAATCTGAATAATTAAAAAAATATTTAAGTATAAACAAATGTTTATATGTAAATACATAAATAAATAAAAGCTTATCCCAGAGTATTATAATATTTTTAAATTACGACCAATTTTTAATTATAAATTCATCTTCAGGTATACACAAAATCAATAAAATTGCAACTGAATATGAAAAAATAAAATCGCAGCTCTATTTGCGTTTAGTACTTGTAAATGTTTTGAAACCTAACATGATATAATTGTAATTATTAAACAATGCCATTAATACATGAATATTTTGATGTTTATTAGTCATGAGTAAAATATAAATTATAGTTTCTTTAAAGAATATATTTTAAAATACTATAAAAAAAAAAATAATAATAATAAAAATAATGAGTTTTGGGTGTCTGCTGGCATTATAGTTTATGTGAAAACAAAAAAAAAAAATATTCAATTTAATTAAAATTAAAAATTGACAATAGCATTTAAGATTTTTAGTAATACAAATAAAAAGTGAGATATGAATGACTTAAAATTAATTTGATTTATTTCAAATATTAATTTATTTTAAAATAGCCATATTATTGTTTTGCATTTAACATATAGTTTAATTTAAAAATTTTGACTTGAATAAATGTAAAAAGTATTATTAAATTTAATATTTAATATAAAAATACTTTACAAACTGGTTACAAAGATAATAACTCCATCTAGAGAAAATCATTGATTGTCAAAGAAACATTAATTAAATTGAATATATCTTACTCATTATTTTTATTTGAAATTTAAAATGAAGAATATTAAAATTAAAACATGTTTTATTGCCATAGTAGTAATATTATTTATATGTAAACAAAACAGTTATTAAGTATAAAAAAATCATATTAATAATTAATATTTTTTTATTTATATAATTATTATATAAATATTAAAAGACTATTGTTTATTATAATCAAAAAATGAGAATGAAATGTTATAAAATTTTAAATTTAAAATATGAAAATTCAAAACTAAAAAGTACTTTGTTGCCATGGAGGTTATTTTATTTATGTGTAACAAAACAGTAATTGAGTATCAAAAAAAAAACATAATTGATAAAAATATTTAGATGATATATTGTATATTTCAATCAAGAAATGAAAATGAAATGTTATAAAATTGTAATAAATTATTTCTAAATTACAATAAATTATAAATTTATCTAAACAAAAGTATCCCTTTATATTTAAAAGTCATTGTATTGATTTAGCAATTTTTAATATCAATTTGAATTTTAAAATCTGAAGTAAAATTCATTATAAGTGAAATTTAAATTATTTTGGTTATTAACTACTTTAACTTAAAAATACTAAAAATATAATGAAAAGTGGTTTTGAGTAACCTCTGGGAATTTGATTTTGGTGAAAAAAAAGTTATTTGTGAATAAAAAGAAACTTAATATTATTTTAGTTTAAAATGTATAAGATTGAAGTATTAATAATTTAAGTAAAAAAGTTAGAACTTACATTTTAAAATTGGTTTGAGTTATAGTAATTTCTAAATATTAATTTATTTTCATTTTTGAAAACAAAACAATTTATAGTTATAAAAAAACAGAATGTATTCATTTAAATATTAAAAATTGATATCTATGTTCAGAGAAATAATTTAAATATTAAAAAAAAAATTAAAGCAATTTATATTTATATTTTCAAATTATCTACTGTATTGAGAATTTGTATTTTTAATCCTAATGTTAAAAGTGTATTATTAATAATAAATAATATTTAAATAGGTATGATTTTTTGAATTAAGTTAAATTAAGGAAAAAAGTCAAATTATTATTATTTTTAATTGATATTAAAATGTTGATTCTTTATTACTTATACAAAAAATATGAGTATCGAATGAGATTAAAAGAATTTGAGCTATTTATTATGTTAAGCTTTGCTTAATCATAAACTTAAGCTTATGTTTACATTGAAATACCAGGCCTTAAACTCTTAAACATAAGCTTTTCAGTACAAAAATATATCTATTTAAAACGAGTTAGTATAGTTAAAAGTAGCATACCAATATTTTAGTTTACATTTTAAATATTATTTACTAAAAAAAAAAGGATTCCCCAGATGTTCTTGATTTGAATTTGATGAAATTAAAATAATCAATGATAGATTATTCCTTATTAAAAGCAACATACATTTATTTAAAATATGTTGTATAATTTAGTAAAAATGATGCCTGATAACAATACTACTTAGTTTAACATAAAAATATTTCTTATTCTACCTTTGATGACATTATTATTAATATTTATCTTGTTCCTTATAATATTATTTCTAACCTATTAGGTTATTATTTTAACCTACTTAATTGATAGATACATTATTTACATATTTAATATTTTTTTTCACTAAATGCAAAGTATCTGTAGACCAATATCCAACAACTTCATTCAATGCCTGAAAAATTATTTAAGCTGTTTACTATGAAAAAATATTTTTTTGTAAACGTAAAAGAAAATTTGGTTTTTACAAACATAGAGACGTTAAGTTGTAATTGAGAGCAGATAGGCAATTAATAAAAAATGTGGTAAACAATAAATTAAACACAACGAGACCTCTAGAACGAGACAAAACCTGATGGATTAACGTAGTTGCTCAATATCTAATAATGATAAACCAGAACACACTCTTACAGACAGTATATCAGAGAGATTTTGATGGCAGCGCTGGTCCTAAATGCTAAATGGAGCGTTAAGCTGGTGAAGAAAATGGGGTTGAAATTTAATCATAGATAAATTAATTACATTTTTTTACTGTAATGAATTGTGCAATGAAATTTTGTAGTTTTAGGTAAATATAATCACACACTAAAAAAAAATGTTATAAATGTTTACACAGAGATCACCTACTTTGTTTAATTCGCAGATGTTTATTAAATATATATATACAGGATATAAGATATTTTGTCTGGTAAATTTAATACCAAGACTATGTATTAGAATGTATGATTAAATATAAAATTCAAACCATAAAATGGTTGAATAATTATAATTTCTTACGTATGGTAGTCGTGTAGCTTGAACATATATCATTATGTAATTTTTGTAAATAGGTCTTGTAAACTGAATTAACCATTCACTCACAGATTCTCATATTATGGCAAACAGTAAGGGTCTAAAATAAATTGATCCACTTTACAATGAATGCTGCAAAACCTTGGATTAAACAACATATTTTCTATAGTTTGGCTTTTTTATAAATGTAGATTCAGAATTGTATCTTAAAAATATTTTTATTTTTTAAATATAAACATTAATTATAGTAGTGATGAGATTGTAAAATATGAACTATAGGGCATAAAAATTTATTTATAAAAATGAAACATTTAGCATAACTAGGAACTGACAAGACTCATCAACAGATTATCATAATTTATTAATATAAGATAGGCCATCGAGGTGAACTGACATGAGAATCAGTGTTTATGTTATATTCAAACGAGAGGGTATTTTGCAATTATTTACAATACAATTTATTTGCAATTAAAAGTTGAAGAAAATACTGCTACCTTACCCTGATAGTTTACCAACAAAATGACATATTCTTGGTTTCCAAAATGATCGACAAAAGCAAAAACTTGAAAAATGCAACAAAAATAGTTTCATCTTAGAACTGAGGAATATAACAGTTACATTAGACGAATGCCGTATTTTTAATTATGACTGATGGTATTTTCGGTATACCGGTAATTACTTAAAAAAATGTCGGTATTTCGGTATTTTCTGTCTCAGAACACCGGTATACCATGATTCGGTAATAACCACTGTTACCGAAAATACCGTAAATTATGGCAATTATATTAGATGTTAATACAATAATACGTGACACCAGTTTATTTTTATTTTTTGTTTATTATTATTATTTTGTAAAAACAATATAGGTAATACAGATTATAGGTAAACTTAATACAAGTTACAAAATCTGAGATTACCGAGGTACGGTATTTTCAAGAATTATCGAAAATACCGTAGAAACCGGCAGTTATCAAATACCGAATACCGGTACCTATCAAAATTTGAAATATCGCCAGCCCTAATTTTAATGCATTGTTTAATATCACACTAAGAAAAATGTATTAAGCATTGAAATCCAGGCTTTAATTATAACTTATAATTTAAACAATAAATTGTAGGTAGTACCTATGATAAAATAAAACGATAAATACGACAAGTACCTACACATAAATGAATACAATTTCTATTTTTATTTTCACACAATTACTGCACTTTATCGTAATGTGCTGAACAAAAGAGCATCTCATTCAATTAGATAGAGAAAAATTGAGCATCTTAACGGGTAGTTCTTACATTGACTAGTTTAGGAAATGTCTATAGACCGACGAAAAACAGCGTTTAAAACGAGTTTTACATATATATAGGGATGTTGCGATACTATCGAAACCAATAAAGTTACGATACTTTTCTTTCGATACAAGTACTTTTCGTATCAATACCCATGGTTTCGATACTTTACACATATCGATAAAAAAAAATACTGGTATCGAATCATTTACTAATCGCCATATTGGTACGAAAATCAAAAGTGATCGAATGCAGTGGCGTAATTTGGAATTGGTTTTGGGGTGGGATTGCGATATAAATTTATACTATCATTCTAGTGGGGCTATACCCCCCACACCCCCTTTAACCATTAAATCTCATATATCTCAATATTATATTAATTTATTATTATAAATTAAATGGTATAATGATGATTGTAAAAAATGTTAATTTTTAATTATTACCTTTTTCTAACTTTGTACTTACAGGTTGTTCTACAGAAATCATCGATCTAATTCTTTGTTTTTCCTAAGAAAATATCCTTGTGTTATTGATTTTTAAATTTATGGATATGGGTATGCCATAATAATTACATAAAAATAAGAAATACATAAATGTATGAAGAT